GAGCGTTAATTGATCAGATGAACAGTTTTAATCAGTTATATTATCTAATTGATTATTGAAAAATTAGCTGTGGTGATCCATATACCTAATATTGTGTTATTTTTTATTGTTATTTGTTTTATACTATAATTTCTATAAAATGATCTACATTTACATAAAAAGTGTATTGAAAAAAATTCATGGGATGACTCGACCATACGAGTGACTGGTATTACTTAAGATTTTCAATATTGGTTTTGCATCCCATGAAAAAATGTGAAATGACGCCCCTGCTTGCCGTATTCGCCAATTGTATGTGTCAGTAGTAATTTCAAATTGATTGCTTTGCGCGTCTTTTAAAATGTATGTCTATAATATCCATGTTTTGAAAATATAAAATGTGAATTTGTATTGGGTCAATATAAAATATGTACTATATTTTTTGTTTCATTACAATGATAATTTAAAAAAGTTTATGGCTGACATTTTATTAAAGCTCTACAAAAGTAGTTATTATAACCGTTAATGAATTATTGAACCTCATTTCATATTTATACAATGCTTTATTTTACTATTTCCAATTTATTTTATACTTAAAGTTTTATTAGTGAAAAATTACATTGTGATTCACGAAGCATTCTCACCATTTTTTCATATTCTAATTTTTGGAATTTTTCAACACTAACTTCTGCTTTTCTAAAGAAAATTACATCTTTTTTTACTGTAAGTTAGCAAAAGGAATAAAAGAATTGCCGAAACACATCTCCTTAAAAATTACACGTTTGAAGGAGCCTTAGTGCTTTAGTAGATATTAAATGTAGGGAGGGGGGTGAGTAAAAAATTAAAATTATATTATGTTGTATTGTGTTACCATTATTGTATCTTAAAGTTCTTTGGGTAGAGTCTCCAACTGCCCCACTGGTCTGTTTCATTAGAATTTGTAAAGCCCCTTCAATTCAAAAACTAAGATTGCGCCCATGCTGAGTGTGTCACCCTATATGTCTCTAGACGCAACTCAACATACGGATCTCTTATCACACTTCACTGTTATCAATTGGTTATTTATCACCAAGATGTTTAACTGCTGTATATAATCAACACGAACTATAATATAATAGGTATCTTAGTTCATAATATTAGTAATATTCTAATATTTGTGGCTCTGTTGGGCACTTGATAGTTATTTATTTTAATGGTATTTAATAGTACCTAGTTTACCATTGATTAATTACTAATCATGATACATTTATCATGTTACTAATATAATTACTATTATAATTGTCATTCGGTCGTTGTCTGATCGTCGTGGTCGCTGACGAGAGTCCTATTCGCATTCGAAAATGGGCTCGGAACAGAGTTCGCAATCCAACAACTCCGAATCGGGCTCGAAAAATCCGAAACTGAAGAGAGGAAAATCTGTGCCCGAGAGTTCTTGGCCGCGGAATTCGCAGGATGGTCAGCATAGCAGAGCGGCCAGCGCAAACACATCACCCGGCCACAGCGTGTGCAGCGACGTCGACTTGCCGTACATATCATACATGGTCAACCGGCCAATCGGAGGTGCCATTAGCTATAGTAAACTGCATATTTCGATGAACAACATTAAACCCATTTCTAGATTCGCCAAAGAAACCCAGCATCATGAGTCGAGGCAGATCAATGCAGGTGGAACCCCAGCGGTCTGCTAAGAAGACCCCAAAGTCCACGCCTAAACACAACATTGTGGTGGTCAGGGCGGCTGTACAAGAAAACCCAGATATGGATGAGGACCTGTATCGAATGAAGGTACATTTTTTTCTCCCTGTAGTCTAAGACATTCAAGTGTATGCATATTGTTATAAAGCATATCTTAGTATTTTCTGCTGACTAATGTAATTTTAGAAAGTACAGTTAAATGTATACAAGTGTACTTATATTATCAATTTGAAACATTTTGTTTACACTTAATGCTTTTAAACTCATGTCTTAAATAGACAATATTTATGTTCTTCGGAGGTACCTACATATTGCTATTTCAAAATAAAATACTAGTTAATTAATGAACAAACATTTAATAAATTCATACAAGTTAACTTAAACTTAAACTTAATATTAATACTTAAAGTACATAAATATAAATTAAAAATATTATTTTTTATTTAGGTTGTAAATTTCAGTTACCTATAGTTTTGAAACATTATTTTTCAAAACATACCTAAATTAAAATGTACAACATACTAAAGAACAATATTGAAGGATTCTTAAACATTAAACCATTTAAACAAAAATTAAAGAACTTAGAATGCATATTGTAAAAGTAATTTTGTCAATTTAATTAGAGTGCCACAAATTGTATTGGATAATTTAAGTGTTATTTTTTGTTTGTTCTAACTTTTAATTGTATCCAATCACAAATGACTAGAGGATTCCTTTGATACTTATAACTATTTTTATTTTTTACATTTACTGAGTATATACAAATAAAAAATATTGGTTTTATAATTTTAGCAAGTACCATCATTTTTGCCAATAATACGAGGCACTGTATCTTTGCCAGCAGCCAGGGATCGAGAAGCATTAGAGAGAATCGATTCCAATGCATTTTACAGACTGTGTCAACTTTATCAAGCCTACATGAGCCGCTGTGCCAAAGCGGTGGCTGCAGATCAAACTTTGATCAATAAACAGATTTTGGAGGTACATATACATCTAAAACTTTAAACTATACAATAACCACTATCATAATTAATTTAAAACTAGAAAAATTATTAATTCCTAATTAATAACCAAATTTGATTTTTTGCAGCTCGACAATGAAACCACACAAGTGTTAAATTTATATGTGGCTTCGTACAAACAATATGCCAAAATCAATGAGCAATTCAAATGCATCAATGACATGAATAAGCAACTGAATTCTTGTCATTTATTGTTAAACAAGACACTAGACTCTGTGCAGCTGTTAAATAACAAACTGCCTCCGGACGAACGGTTGGAACCATTTGTGTGGACGACGGGTTAAACAATGACTGATCACATCATATATTTTCACCTTCACTAGTCTAACAAATTTTATATACATTTTTATTTTTATTCTATTGTTATTTACTTATAATTGTTTTAGCATCTAAAAATCTTTGATCTGTGTGAATTTTTATTTGTTTAAGTATCCATGGTAAATGAAATGATAGTTTTGTATACACATCCGGATATCCTGGTCGAGCACATCCAGAACCAAATGATGTGAGACCGGCTAAGAACCATCTACCATTTGGACCTGAACACTGCAATGGCCCTCCAGAATCTCCCTGCAATATGTTTAATGATCACATAGCTTTAATTAGTTCCATAAACAATATGTGTGTTTGTTCAACATACCACACACGGTCCACCACCTTTTCCATCCATTCTGCCAGCACACAAATGGCCATCAGTTATGGGCACGGCTGGTCCATATTTGTCTCTACAAATAGATGTGTTATGCACAGGCACTTTGATCTGTCGCAGTTTACCTGACAACGGTCCATTTGGTTTGACTTTACCCCATCCAGTTGTGACACACATCTTTGGAATTGGAGTGTTATTTGTAGATGGTGGTAAGCATAAGCACCGAACATTTGTGTTAGTGATATTTGTCGGTCTAGATAGTTTCATTAACGCTGCGAAATTCAATTGTTAGTACCATTAAAATTAAATTTGTTGTAGACAATTTTTTCATAATTAACCTATATCATTTTGGTAATTGTTAAACTTGTCATGAATGACCACTTCATCAATGGGTATACGCTCCTCCGTGTGCTCTTCTACGTCTCTATTCCAGTCGCCGAGTACAGCTGTCCAAAGTGCTGCCAATGGCAAGCTGAACTTTTCACTTATGATCAAAATTAAATTTTTAAAATAAATACAATTGTTAATGGCATATATAAATAATGATTTACTTTCTGATGCAGTGAGCAGCTGTCAACACCCAAGTAGGTCTGATCAGTACCCCCGCACACCAATGGCCGACAAAACCAAATGCTGGGTGAAGTAACTGTAAAGATACCTAAAAATGTATTGAAAATGTGTTTTATTAAGTTGTAATGATCTAAACCACACCTTCAGAGCTCAGATAAATATTACAAATATACAATTCATTCATTTATTCTAATTAACTTCAATATTAAAATAATATGTGTATGTATTTGTTTTAAAAGCTTATTGTAATTAATATTTAAAATTGAAATGAACTCTTAAAAAGTTATTTTCAATATTGCTTATCACTAGTCGATTAAATGTACTGTTTAATTTTTAATGTTATTTAAATTTAATTATTGATTGTATATTATATATTGTATCACATCATGTTGGCTTGTGTTTTAACATCAAAAGCAACAATAAATTTAATTTTAAACCTGGATTGACAGCTATATTGTGTATGGGTGTGGTAACTATGGTTACAATTTGTAAGTTATAACCATATTGTTTTAAAAGTTGAGCTATAGTCAATTCTTGATATTCTCGATTGCAACTTGGTTATCACATGATACCAAAAAACAATGTTAATTCACAATACTATTTGATTGACGCGGCATAACTGTTAAGTATTTCATAAATCTATTATTTAAATGTATTCATCACTATATTTTAATAATATTAATTTTATAATTTTATATTAAAATTGAATACTATATCAACTATTAGTTATTTATTATGATTTACGAGTCCTATTAAAAGTACTGTGAGGTATCTAATACCAACAATTTATCTTTATAATAAGAGAAATGACAATGTTTGGTCAGGTGTAATTTTATTTCTATTTTTGTTTGTAAGTTTGTTCCAATTACACTTGACCAAACACTGTTATCAGGTAGGCAGACATTAAGTTAAAATGAAATAATCTACACTGAAAGAAAATTATTGAAACAGTTACATATTTATGGATGTATCATTTAAAAATATAGTTATTAAAATAATAAGTATTTTAAAATGTCTGCTGAAGTAACTTTTTTTGGTACCTACCCATAGGTACTTGTTTGCTATCCCTCCGCCATCACTCTGCCAACAAACTATATAAAATAATGCCCCACCACAAGGCGATTTTATATCATCCAGCTTTATTATAACATTTTGATGTTCATGATCAGTATTGCTTTAGGTAGGTACATCTTAATATTTTTCATTAAGGTTTGTCTTGTATGTTATCTATATTCTATTTATTGTAAAATGCCAAAATGGTAAATACTAAATACTTATTATAATATTTTAAATTATATTTTATTACACTATAATCATGTATTAGTTTTGTATCAGCTTGTTGCTATATTGTATGTGTAATTTAAAGTCATACCTATCTGTCTTACACACTTTAAAAGTATATTTTCAATTATTGTTAGAAATGAATTTTAATGAGTTACCGTTTCCTGCAATATTTATTACTGGCATTTTATTTTTACAACAAAAGTGTATCATTAAAACAAATAAAGTGTGGTGTGACCACTGACCATTGAAGGATCTTTGGAAAATTGTCTTATTTTTTTACATGTAATATTAATATATTATTACATACTAATTATTAACCATGCTATATAAAAAATATCTTAGTACCTGACTAAGATCTATGAATTAGTTTGTCTACTATGTCTGTATCTACTGAAATTACACGTTTCAACCAATATTCCAACTGCTCCATGATCCAAATGTGAAATAAACGAAAATTAATTTTCACATTAATTCACTAATATTTAATACAGTTTGTTTAAATCTCCACAGTCTATATGTTTATTGAATATGTATATTTTTTAATACAACATTCAATACCTACATAATTATACCATATAAATACTATTAAGTACGAAAGTACTCGAATACTCAAAATTCTTCCAAAATTATGAAATATAAGTATGTATAATTACCATAATAATTTTATCAAAGCAGATACATTGATGGAAGCAGGATTACAGGAATCAAACCTCTATAGGTACTTCAAATTGGCAGGAATAGTAAATTTAAATATTGGCAGTATCGGTCAGATTAAATCAATACCCGCGGGTTCCTACTATGGAGTGCTAATGGTCCGATGACGGGATGATACATTTTATACGGCTGGTGGTGGGCGATAACAAACAAGTAGGTAAGTATAAAAGTAGTTGTTTGTTATTGTTTTTTTCTACATAGGATAAACATTTTTGTGAAATGATAAAAGCAACGTGCCCTTGAAAGTTTTAAAAAATCTGAGATGATGAATTTGACGGGTTCTTGTCAGTTAGATAACTCTAATACTCTATATTTTAATATATTTATCAGTTTGGCATAGGTACTTACTTGCCACGGCCAAGCGCCTTTCTGGGTCTCTTTACCGTTGACCAGTCGGGACTTGGAACCTCCACCGCCCGATCTGGGCTGCCGATAACTGATTGCACCGCTATTCAAACCGCACTCTTAGTATTCCAAACAAAAACAAATACAATCAAATTGATATCGCGAATAATAATACAATTTACTTATAAGAGTCTACCAGATAACCAGGTATGAAATATTACATTTCGTGTAATTTTCTTTTTTTTTTTTAGTGAATACTGCGTAATCCACAATACTAAAAACTGCAATTAGGTATCACAGAAAAAATAAACACTAATTAATTTTACTAAAAAATATGGCTAAATGACACGTCATGAGTCATAAGCGCCACAGTGCCAGTTATGTTTTTTGTGGGTGACGGGTGACAACTGCAATGTTCTAAAGATTATAAATATAAATTATATATAACTTAATAGTTAATACAGTATTTATTTATTTCCACATAACGTAGGTATTGGAAAATCCCAATGATCTCGTAATTTTGTAAATAACCACCAGGCACCAATGGCCAACTGAGGTCTTGAACACAGTAACATGGGATAACTTGGAAGTTACTTTAAATGAGTATTTGTAGTAGGTAGGTACCTATGCCTATTTAATTTCGTTCAATAATTCTTTCTTTCGATTGCCTATACTAAACCCCTTGAAAAGTGGTCGTTTGGCATTATCTCAACTATTTTTTTTTTTTATTTTAATGGTGTAACATGTTGTAGGATTACATTCACTGAAATCTTAAAAAAATTAAAAACGATTTGCCCTCTTTTGTCTTGAATCATTCAATTGTAAGTAGAATTTTACATGCTGAAAGGATCTGGTGACGGTAGATAAGGACTTTTTTTCTTAGCAAAATAAAGATGTAAGTGTGAAGACTCCACGGGTCACTGTTGCCATAAAAATGTAGCCCACCCACAAAAATAAAGTCCAGTTGCATCTATCCATCGGAGTGAACCGATTTTCAAAAAGTGAAAAGAAAAACTTCGAAACGACCGCGACGAGTGAAATAGTAGCACCGGGAATTATAATAACATATACCTACATTGGCCATCACATTAAATTGTACAGGATTTCTCGGGATACATTTTACACAATAAATTATTATTACTATTATTTACTATAAAAAAATATATCTGTATTAAACGGTCCCTATTATTGTAGAGCATATGTGTGCATGTGTGTGTGTGTGTGTGTGTGTATGTGTCTAGTCTACGATCGCGTGCACAAGAGGACGATAAAAGAAAAAACGCAAACCACGATCGGTGAAAGTATAAGCTGCACGTAGCTACCTGCTATTTACTGTATAACGACAATAGACGCTGCAGCGAACACGCGATTTTGGATTTTTACCTTCGGCGGGCCTACGGTGTACCTACAGATATTTATCGTAACGCGTACAAATCCGCGTGCATAATGACAACTGTAAGTATACATAGCATTATAGCCCTATATAGGTACAAATGTGCAGTGTGAGTGTGTTTGTTTGGGTGTGTGGGTAACTAGTTCACACGATTCGTTTTGTGTGAGTCGCGTGACGTCGTCAAGTTGCACACGAACTTCGTGCAGATCGTCCTGCACCGTAGTCCGCAAATCCTAATATCATTTATTGTGCATACTATAAGTATATAATGCGTGCTGTTCTCGTCAGCGTCAATAATTATTTGACGTAGCAGTTAAGAACTTTGAAATTCTATAAAAAAATATTTATATCCT